TCAGCCTTCCTGCTCCTCTGATGCTGCTTGGCCTGCTGCGTTCATCCAGCTCTACCCCTTGTTATCTCAGATTCTCCAGCATCGGCAGTTCCTACTATCTCAGATAGTAAATGGAATGGTTTTGAAAGGTTGATGAACAGACAGACGATTTTACCAACATACTTTAAGGAAAAAATTCATTCACAGGATGAGTGTATCGCTGGTTGCCCCATGAGGGGGTGGGGGTGAGCTGCCTTCTTGAACTGCTGCAGTCCATGTGCTGCAAGTTTTAGAAGGGAACTTGCAGGGGGTGGTGTTCCCATGTATCTGCTGCCCTTGTCCATCTCGATGGAAGTGGCCGTGGGTTTGGAAGGGGCCTGTGTGGACTGTTGCAGCGCATCCTGTTGATTATACATGGCCATTGCTCTCTGCAGTGTTTATGTATGCACTGGTAACAGGAGCAGCATTATAATATTTGCAAATTGTCAGTGATGAAGGGAGTTAACCTGCCGATAAGGGTGGTGCTATTGCTGTCTGGCGGACTGGCCTCGACATCGCACAGGCTGAGCGCCAGCTCTCAGATACCTCCTCCTATTTCCCCCGGACCACAGCCCCACCATGGAACTCCAGGCTGTTGTGTCCACAGTGGTCACTAACCTCATTTCATCCAGTGATATGCCCCCTCAACCCCACTGCCTTCAAGCTTAAACTCCCCCAACTCCACACAGCTCACTTCTACCTCCTTCCCAAACTCCACAAACAGGACTGCCCATGCAGACCCATTGCCTCTGCTTGCTCGTCCCACAGAACTCATCTCTTCCTACTTCGACTTGATTTTTTTTCTCACCTTATCTAGTCCTTTCCCACTTACATCTGCAACTCCTCTGATGCTTTACAGCAATTTCAGAATTTCCAGTTTGCAGGCTCCAGCCACCTCCTCTTTCCCATGGATGTACAATCCCTTCACATGTCCATCCCCCACCAGGATGGTCTCAGGGAGCTCTGCTTCTTCCTGGAACAAAGGCCTGAATAGCCCCATCTACCACCACCCTCCTCCACTGCGCTGAGCTTGTCCACACTTTGAACAAATTCTCATTTAATTCCTCTCCTTTTCTTCAGGTCAGAGGGATTGGCCACAGGTACCCACAGGGACATAGTTATGACTGCCTCTTTGTGGGGTATGTGGAACATTCTTTGTTCCAGTCCTATTCCGGCCCCCACCCACAACTGTCTCCAGCATACTGATAACATTATTGGTGCTGCTTCCCTCTCTTGACCAAACATGGAAAAGTTTATCAATTTCGCCTCCAATATCCACCCCACTCGCGCCTTCACCTGGTTCATCCTTGACTCCTCCCTTCCTTGACATCTGTCTCCATTTCAGGGGATAGGCTGATCACCAATATCCACTATAGACCAACTGATTCCCAGAGTTACCTGGACTATACACCCTCACACTCCTGTTTCCTGTAAAGATTCCATCCCATTCTCTGTTCTGACGACGCGAACTTCAACAAGGGGGCTCAAAGGTCCACTTTCTTCCTCAACTGAGGATTCTGCAGCACCACAGTTGACAGGGCACTCAGCAGGGTCTGACCCATCTCCCGCACTTCTGCCCTAACCCCATCTTCCCTCCCACAACACTGTTAGGGTTCCCCTTGTCCTGATCTACCATCCTACCAGCATCCACATCCAGTACATCATTAGCTGCCATTTCCACCACCTCCAGTGAGATGCCAGCACCAAACACACATCCCGTCCCCGGTTAGCCTACCACAGGGACCGTTCCCTCTAGGACACTCTGGTCCATTCCTCTGCCACTCCCGACATATCCCCCCACCTCCCACCAGCCCCACAACACCCTCCCCTGCAACCACAGGTGTAACATCTGTCTGTTTACTTCCTTCCTCACCACTATCCAACGGCCCAAACACACCTTCCAGGAGAAGCAGCACTGTACCTGCACTTCATTCAACCAAGTCTACTCTATTTGCCGCTCACAGTGTGGTCTCCTGTGTTGGGGAAAATGAAGCGTACACTGGGTGACTGCTTCACAGAACATCCACATTCTGTCTGCAAAAAAGACCCTGAGCTTCCACTTTAACACACCACCCTGTTCCCTGGCCAACACCAGTGTCTCAGGCTTGCTGCAGTGTTACAGCAATGCTCAGCACAAGCTGAAAGAACCACATCTTATTTTTCGCTTGGGAACTCTACCGCCTTCTAGACTCAATATCGAGTTTTCAAACAAGTTTAGGGCTTGAGGCACATTCTCCTCTGTCCTTACCCCAACCCCCTTGTTATCATATGGTCTGCTACTAGACACAACCCATTGTTAGCTACTAATAATCCCAATTATTCATTCTCATAGCCAGATCGTTATCCACTCCTTTGTCTGTCAAATTGTTCTTCTCTCTTTGGGCTCTATTGTTTATTCCTTACACACACACACACACACACACCCCCCCAATTCTATCATAAAAAAACATTTTCGTGGCTACCATCAGTCCCAAGGAAGGGTCATTGGACCTGAAATGTTAATTCTGATTTCCTTCCACAGATGCTGCCAGACCTTGAGTTTTTCCAGCAATTTCTGCTTTTGTGAATATTAAGGTGGTAGTGGCTGGGGTGCCAATCAAGTGGGCTGCTTTTTCCTGGATGGTATTGAGCTCAAGTGTTATTGGAGCAGCATCCGTCCAGGCAAGTGAAGAGTATGGCATCACATTCCTGACTTGTGCCTTGCAGATGGTGGAAACGCTCTGGGAATCAGGTGGTTGGTTATTTGCTGCAGGATTCCCTGCGTCTGATCTGCTCTTGTAACCACTGTATTTATATGGCAAGTTCAGTTCAGTTTCTGGTCAATGGTAATGGCTCAGGACGTTGATGGGGTTGGGGGGAGGGGGGGGTAGGTGTATCATTGTTGGTGATGCCAATGAACATCAAGGGGCGACTGTTAGATCCTCTCTTATTGGAGATGGTCATTGGCTGGTACTTGTGTGGCATAAATGGCACTCATCAGCCCAAAGTACCAAAGAGTCAGAACTGTAATCATCATCCGATTCTTTCTCCATAGATGGTGTAAGACCTGAATTGCTCCAGCACTTTTTTTGTATTAGCCCCAGCCTGGATATTGTCCAGATCTTGTTGCATTTGAACACGGACTGCTTCAGTATCTGAGGAGTCACAAATGGTGCTGAACATTGTGCAGTCATCCTCACTTTTGGCCTCTGACCTCATGATGGAGCAAAGGTCATTGATGAAGCAGCTGAAGATTGCTGGGCCTAGGACACAACTCCCAGTGATATTCTGGGGCTAAGATGATTGCCCTCTAACAACCATCATTCTCTGTGCTAGGTATGATAACCAGTGGAGTGTTCTCACCTCCTCCTCCCTCAATTCCCTAGTCCCCGCTGACTCAAGGCATGAGGCACAGTCCAGAGAAGGGCCCCGGGAATGAGGTCAGGCTGGAAAACCTTGGGCTTTTCCCCATGGAAGACAGGAGGTCAGGAAGTGAGTGAAGAGAGATTTATAAAATGGAGGGATTTTGATAAATTAATTGGAGTGAGTCATTAACCCGAGGTCACAGGCTGAAAATCATTGCAAAAGACATTGAGGTAAGATGAGGGGAGATATTTTCACAGAGTTGCCACATATAGGATGTTGTACCAGTAAAGATGTACAAATTGATTCCATCAATAATTTTAAAAAGGGAAACAGACAGGTACCAGGGAATGAGAAATTGATAGGGTTAAAAAAAGCCAGGGAAGTGTGACTAAACACAAATGTTCATTTTAAGAACCAGCACTAGCACAAAGGAGCTGAATGGCCTCCTGTGCTGTAAGTTAGTTCAATGCCATGAATAACAATCTGGAAGCTATGAAACCGTAAACTCACCCGCCGTGCTTTGCTCTGGTATCGAACTGCTTTTTTAGTCTCTTCTTTCGCCCGCTCAATATACTCAGCAGCATTTACCACATTTGTCTCTATGTTATTAATCATTTCACCCTTTTGTGTTTAGAAAAAGAAAAAACGAAGTTAGTTTAAGGATCATTATGAAATGAATCCTGCACAGTCATTGCCACTATTTTTATCCATCCATCCATCCCTGAAACATGAATTCCCTCCAAATAGAGCCGATGGACTCTGCTTCAACACATTCAATAAATTCCATACTCTGCTCTACCCTTGAATGCTTCACATCCTTGTCTTTTCAATACAGTATGGTTGGTGCAAATACCCCCGTCTTTACTTAATATAACCCCTTCTGATCTTGAAGGCTTTCCATCTCACTTACTCTTAATTCTCTCAACCATCTCAGCTCAACAGGTCAAGCCAAACTCATCCTCTGTTTTAGTGTCACCTCCAGTACCAATAACAGCCCAATAAATCTATGCAGCACTCATTTTTTTGTTTTTACACTCATCTGTGGGATGTGGGTGTAAATGGCATGACCAGCATTTATTATCCCTTCTCTAGTTGCCCTTGAGAAGGTGGGGGGTGAGCTGCCTTCATCTACTACTGCAGGCCATGTGCTGTAGGTTGACCCACAATGCTTTTAGGGAGGGAATTCCAGGATTTTGACCCAGTGAAAGTGAAGGAATAGCACAACATTTCCAAGTCAGGATGGTGAGATGCTTGGAGGGGAACTTGAACGTGGTAGTGTTTCCATGTATCTGCTGCCCTTGTCCTTCTAGATGGAAGTGGTCGTGGGTTTGGAAGGTGCTGTCTGAGAATCTTCGGTGAATTTCTGCAGTGCATCTTGTAGATGGTACACACTGCTGTTACTGAGCGTCGGTGGTGGACTGAGTGGATGCTTGTGGATGTAGCACCAATTAAGCAGGAGCTGCTTTGTCCTGGACAGCGTCAAACTTCTGGAGTGTTGATGGAGCTGCTCTCATCCAGGCAAGTGGGGAGTATTCCATCACACTCCTGACTTGTAGTTGTAGATGGTGGACAGGCTTTACAGGCAAATGTATTGGAGGAAGCTGACCCAGCCTCTGGTCTTACCTTCATGGTGAGTTTTCCATGATCGTTCAACTGTTCTCTCAAGACTCCAGTGAGAACTAGCCTTAGGGTACCCAAAGTGGTGGAACTGCACCTTATTCCAACTGACCAGTGACATCCACAGCCTTTTAGGAATGCACAATTTTATATTTATACAACCTCCTGTGCGAAAGTTGTTCCTTGGTCACACTGGCCCAGTTTTAAATTTAACACTTAGTCCCCTTGTTTTAGACTTCCTCACAGGAAATAGTTTCTTTGTATCTACCCTATCAAATCCCTTCATTGTTTTGAACATATTCATAAATTAACCAGAGCAAAGATTAGGAATTCCTGTGTTGCTGAAATAATGGAATAGAAATTTTAAATGACACCTTCAGTTGATGGTTTAACATAAAATGTAACTTATTCTGTAGGTCCAGTTGTGGGAAATGTTGCATGAATAACTGTTTAAATAAGCATCTTGCTTCTTCAAGTCAGACCTCTGGAATAATGAAACAATGTGCTGAGGAAACTCAGCAAGTCTGGCAGCAATATCATCATACAGACTCGGAGACACAGAATGGTCTCGGAACACTAGCTGTGGTTATCAGACCTGCTGAATTTCTCCAGCACTTTCTTTCAATTTCAGAGTTCCACAGTATCTTAACGAGTATGCCAATGCAATACAGGAGCATGGTGGATGAAAAGACACGAGAGAGACAGAAGATACCAGTGCATAACAAATAATTGTGAAACTGAACTAACAGGCACAGGAATCAAAACATTGCTCAGTAAGTTTGGCAAAGATATACCAGGAGTATAATGCATAAATTGTCAACCTTGCTCAGTCCTGAAGGCAAGCTAGTGCAAAGAGTTGAACAATCCTAAACAAGTGGGTGTGCACTGACCATTTTTCAAGATTTGTAATAGTGCAATTTCAGGTAAAAATAAAACAAATCACAACTTTTGATCCTGTGCATGTTCTCTTGTATTGGGTGCAAACTCATGTGTGCAAAATTGATGTAAGTTCATGTTTTGATGTCAACGTGCTGCACAAATGTCACAGTGATTCAATAGGGCCATCAATGAAATGGATGTAATCATGTGACTTTGTTGGTTACCTGTGTAGCTGTCCCATCAGCAGCAATTAGCAAAAGAAGAAACATCTCATTTATTTTGTTACACCTTCAACAAAAAAACTATTCGGGGGCTAAGGGTGACAACTGTGTTATGTGTCAAACACCCAAATTAATTTGCAGCAGAAGCTCCTTGGAAAAGGGAAAACTGGTGCTGATCTTGAGTTGATTCTCATTCCATTATTGAAAGCATAACATGGCAGGGCTCATGGTGACAAGCTGCGCAAAAAAATTATAATTGCATCAGAAAATCTCAGTGTCAGGGTGGATGAGCCCAGATCCAGGCCTATGGCTAAGCAGTTAAGAACTGCTATGTTGAACTTTTAACTTTATTTCTTTATTTTTCACTTTACACCTAAGATTTTGCACCTAGGTTCCGTTGTACCTAAGGTGATGCTGGAGAATGGTGACTTTGCATACTTGTCACTGTACTCCTGTATCCTAGTACTTGAGCACACATGACAATAAAACCTAATTCCAAGAAATAGTGTTAAGGAGAAAACTAACTTTCAACAAGTCAATCCTGTGCAATGTTGCAGAGATGTGAGAAAAGACCAAATATTTTTAAAGTGAAGCAGGGTAGAGGCCAGAGGAAACAGCAACATCAGCCTTTATTTTATAGACTTCCAATGCCATTTTCCACATTTATAAAGAAACATCTATATAAATAGGGCATGGTTAAATGTTGACATGGCGCAGGATGATGCAGTACTTAATACATTAGATAATACATTTCTTTTGTGAAAGGAGGAAAACTTGATAGATCCTTAGGATAAAGCAGAGCTAAAACAAACACCACTGAGGTTACAAGACAGGTTCTGATATTATCTTAAAGAAACACACTTTCAAAGAAAGCAGGGAAAAGAACTGAAGCTGCATCAAACAATCCAGTTTTCTAAAAATATACCAATCCTGGTCACCTAACCCTTCATTTTGCTGTTGATGCTAATTAAGTGAAACCAAAGTTCCCCAAACGGATACAGCATTCTAATCCATACAGTAATGCCACATACTGGCAGGAGCGGTAAATGCAAAGAAGCTACAGTTCAATGCTGTGCTAAATATTCTAGTTCAGTCAGCAAATGTGACCCCAAGTTTTAATTTGTTCTCCAACTTTCTGGAACCATTTACACCTCCTGTGAATTCATTTTTTTGCCCCATCCTTGCCTTTCATCATTACTATGCCATTGAATCTTTCCTGCCCTCACCATGTACCTGATTATTCTCGCTGGTCTTTTCCATTCCCCTCCCATAGTTCTGTACTGCATCATCCTGCGCCATGTCAACATTAAACATAGTTCTACATAAATTTAAAACTTTTAACTTTATTTCTTGATTTTTCACTTTACACCTAAGATTTTGCACCTAGGTTTTTATTTTGCTGTGCTTTTTATTGTGGGCTGAAATGGAAAAGGGCTGTTTCTAAAATGAAGCATTATGGAAAGGATTGCAGCACTTTTTAAAATCAGGACACCAACACTTATTACATGTGCTGTTCACACTGCTGCTTGTTCAAACAGTGAGGGAAATGACTGCACAAAGGGAGATCTGGCCAGCAACAAGCAGCTGACTGGTTCCCAGGTAGCTGACCAACTCGTGGATGTGAACATTTGGACCTCCAGAAAGCAAAGAGGGGTCCTTCCTCTGCAGGTAAATAAAAAAAGAACACCTTAAGCCTGAGGAAAGCCAGGATAATTTTTTATCAGTTGCTGCAAGCTGTGGCTTTTAACTAATAAGTCAGAGACTTTATAAGTTGTGAACCTGTTGGTTTGTGCCTCCTGCAGAAAGTGAAAGTACCCAGAGAACAAAGGTCTAATAGTAGCAGGTCCTGACAGGCCAAAAAGATGATCACTGTAAACCTTGTGGATAAAGACCAATAAATCACCTGCCCAGCCTTTCCACCCCCCGTAACATTCACGTTTCTTTGTCTGTCTGTTTGCACAGGTGTGCAGTGGGGAGATTTATAAGGGGTTATAGATTAACCAGAAGAGTTTAAGGGGGTCAGTTAACTCAGTTGGTTGGACAGCTGGTTTGTGATGCAGCGTGTCACCAATGTTCAATCCCTGCATTGGCTAGGGGTACTATGAAGGACTCCCTTCTGAAGCTTTCCCCTTGCTGAGATGTGGTGGCCCTCAGGTTAAATCACCAGCAATTGTCTCTCTCTCGAATGAGTGCGCAGCTGTATGGTCTGGTAAGACTCTGGCTAGTTTAGTTTAATAGTCGACAGTTCATTATCGTTTCTCAGTAGCTAGAACTGGTTTACTCAAAAGACAGTAATTCTTGTAAAATATAGAAACCTATTGCGTGCTGTCAACTTTGGTCTAAAAGGAAGGGAAATTGAGAGTTTTGCACACTTACATGAAATAATTAACCTTGTGACAACTGAGAATAGCAGGGCTTGTTGCTACCCAGTGAGATGGGACAACCTGAATACCGTGAAAACAGACAAGCTGCTGAGGTTTATCCATCTTGCACTCATCAGGACACATGCAAGAATGCCAAATTTCAAGCGATACCTAAAATTACTCACCTTTAAACCTTCTGGATATAATGACAATCATGGGAACAAATGATTAACACTGCTTCTCTCACCATAGATTCTGCCTTACCGGAGAAACATGCCCAGCACTTTGTGCTTTCAGTCTGTGTGCACATTTGTTTGGAGGAGTTCTGCACTGGTGTTTGATCAATATGCAGCAATCCTTTTGCAGTCCCTCAATGAAAAGCTGGAGCACAGTGGCTCTTGTGAACAGTGAAAGGCCTTTGTTTCTATGGTTCCTGTCTGTATGACCCAGCAAAAGTACTGTTGAAACCTCACTCAGCTTTCAGTGATTCAAGAACTGCTTTTGTAAAGAAATGGTCTATTTAATTCCTTGATGGTATTGGGTATAGATGGCTAGGCCAGCATTTGTGGTCTGACCCTAATTGTGCTGGAGAATATATTCTGGAATGCCCAGGCAGCAACTATTCCATATGTGCCCCCCTGCCACTAATCCAGCATTGGGCTAATTTCAAAAACGTCCTTGCTGTGGAACCACAATGCAAGTCAGGAAACAGCAGGTTTACAAGGATGTAACTTCTCACTCGTACATACTGGAGTGTAATGTGCATTAATGGTTTATTTTATGATACCTTACACACATTGTATGCGTAACGAAAGCAGAAATTGCTGGAAAAGTTCAGCAGGTCCGGCAACATCTGTGGAGAGAAATCAGAGTTAATGTTTCGGGTCCCTTGACCCTTCCTCAGAGGACTCTCCTTCAGTTTTGAGGAAGGGTCACCGGACTCAAAACTTAACTGATTTCTCTCCACAGATGTTGCTGAACCTGTTGAGCTTTTCCAGCAACTTCTGCTTTTGTTACTGATTTACAGAATCTGCAGTTCTTTCATTTGTTTTACACTGTATGCATGCTTTCACTCACTTAAGCTGGAGAAATAATTTGGGATTCAACATTCAAAGTTAAATAGACAGCACACCTCAAAAACCCATAAACTTTGAAACACTTCACCTGCTGTTCCACTAACATGGCCATGTCCACAAACATGTCGTGCAACTCTCGTATGCTTGCTTCCAGTTTGATAATGTCTTTGTGTCGTGATTCAATCTCATTAAGAGCTTGTCTGGTGATCTGCGTGTCCGATATGATCTGTAAAACAAAGATCAGGAAGCAATTATCGCAACCTTTAGGGATTCTCTTTGCTTCCTTCTGATGCTCAGAGATTTAAAAAAGGTCAAAAACAAAGTTGCTAGAAAAGCTCAGCAGGTCTGTAGAGGAGAAAACAGTTAATGTTTCAGGTCCGGTAACCTGAGGAAGGGTCACTGGACCCGAAACGTTAACTCTGTTTTCTCCTCTACAGATGCTGCCAGACCTGCTGAGCTTTTCCAGCAACTTTGTTTTTGTTCCTGATTTACAGCATCTGCAGTTCTTTTGGTTTTTATTTAAAAAAAGGTCACCAGGTAGTTCCTGCCACCTGCCTTGGAGGGCAGTGAGGAAGCAAACATTCAGATGGGCTCAAAAACAGAAGTTGCTGGAAAAGCTCAGCACATCCAGCAGTATCTGTGAAGAAAAAAATCGGAGTTAATGTTTCAGGTCCGGTTACCCTTCCTCAGATCTGGGGCATCCGCAGTTCTTTTGGTTTTTATTCAGACAGTCTCCCCCAGATAATCACCACAGTTAGATCAGAGATTAGGGCAAGGGAAAGCTTTGATTTTGTATAATGCTAGGTCCAAAAGCAATTTATACAGTGGTAATGGTTAGACGGTATTGAGGATTACAAGAAAGAGGAGATGGCCATTAGGCCGTTCAATCTTGCTCTGCCATTTAAAAGATCAACCAAGTGTCACTTACCTTGATGCTGCATTCCTGTAATTTCCCCATATGTCTCAATTCCCTTAGCCTCCAAAAATCTACCGATCTCAGTCTGATATATATTCAATACTGAGTCACCTGGAGATCTCTGGGGGTGCAGAATTCCAAAGATTCACAATCCTTTGAGCCAAGAAATTTCTTCTAACCTCAGTCCTAAACGTCAACTCCATATTGACAGAGATCCTACTTCTAGGCTCCCAAGCCGGTAGAAACATCCTTTCATTATCTATGTTTCACCACTTCAGAGTTTTATACAGCTTGAATTTTTATTGTATATGCAACACAGAAGCAGGCTATTTGACCAAATGCGTCGGAGCTCAAGCATTCGTTCGTCTACTTCATTTCACGCTAAGCCGCTATTCCTTTCTCCCTCAACTTTATCCAGCTTCTCCTTAAATCCATTCACTTTGACATCTTGTGGGCGGAAGGTCCAGTCTTACCACTCACTCTGGTAATGAACTGTCTCTGGATTTTCCTCTTGGATTTATTTGCCACTCTCTTATATTAATAACCCTATTATCTTAAAGATCTCTATCAGGTCCCCGGTCATTTTTTGAGAGAGAAAAGAGAGTCTCCAGTGTGATCAGTCTCACCTGATATCATTTCCACTCAGTTGTGGCAGTACCTCCTCCACTGTCTCCATACCCTCTTATAATACAGACCAGAATGGAGAGAACTCAAAGTGTGGCCTAAACCTAGGTGCAATACAGGCTCAACACAACCTTGAAGCTTTTCAGTTTTATTCTTTTTGAAACAAACTCTAGGACTTTGTTTGCTTTTTTTCTGGTCTTATTAACCTGAAATGTTATTTTTAGTGATTTGTATATCTGTTCACCTCCAGATTTTCTACTCTACCTAGACATGCAGTATGCAACTTCTGTACTCATTTAACCAAAGCATGGGGAATGAATGTAACTCTTAACTGCAGGAGCTACCAGACTGCTCCTGTGGTGCCACAGGAGGGCAAATTAAAGCTCTGGTTTAATGACTCATCTGAGAGATAGCACTCCTTCAGCACTGCATTGGACTGTTGGCCTGAATATTGGACCCAAGTCTGTCGAACACGACCAGAACACATAACCACAACCAAGCTATTAATGCTTTCTTTCTCCATAATTTGTGTTTTTATTTCAGCAGCATTTGGTGTTTGAACCTATGACCTTCGTATTCAGATACGAGCATGCTGCCCACAGTGGATGAAGGACGAGGAGACACAGAAAGGAATCACCTCGTTCTATACCCACATTTATTCACTTTTGTTTAAGTCATGTTTCCCACAAACTGTTGAAACAATTGAGATTAAACCAGGTAAATTTAATTCTAAGAAACGAAAATGTTGAAAACACTTAGGTCAGGAATGTTTTCATGCAGAGAGAAACAGGATTGATATTTCAGCTCTTTTCTCCATCAGGACTGACAAAGAGTCACCAACACGAAATGTTGATTCTTTCTCTCTCCACAAATGCTGTCAGACCTGCTGAGTGTTACCAATGCAGGATTTTGCTTACGAAAACTTGACGTTTGCTTACATCAGATGTAAAAATAGATGGGTTACCACTTTCCAGCATCTCTTCCAGTTCATCATCAGTGGTTGTTTTTCCAGCTGTCAAAGCAAAGTGGACACAATTAATTCAATGACATCTATTCCTTTGTAATTCATTTTCCAGGCTGTAGCTGAAGAAGATTACAAAGCTGCATAATTGGATTTTTAAGAAACAAAATATGAAAAATTAAATCAGAAGCCATGTCCCCTCTGTTTCCTTGTTTTAAATGACGATCAAGACGTCAATGATGAAAGTGCTTTAAATCAGCACAAGGATGATGTTCATTCACTATGCAGCCCAAAGAAATAACCCTAATCAGTTAAGATCTGGCACGCAACAACAATAGAGGCACCAAGAGTGTCCGAAAGAAAACTACATTCAGCCTCATTCCAATGTAGCTGGCTTTTTAAATCCCAACTCCATCGTCCTTTGAGGATTAGTTATAGTCAATGATGTTTGATGATCTGCTGTTGCCAGAGATCTCATTTCTTCCCTTGCCCCATTGTCAGCTCGGTTTTGTCTCATACCTTCATCTAAATATCATTTAATCTTTTGTATTCTTCACCTGATTACAGACCCTCTCACCCTGAATCATTCATGGCTCATTACTTGTGTAAAACTATCAAATGTTGAACTTAGTTTTTTGTTTTTATTTCAGATTCTTTTAGAGTTATTGACAGATCTCAGTTAGACATTAGCTAAAAAGCTTTGGTAAGGTAGACAAAGAAAAACTGACCCATTGGTTGACGGTACAAGGACTAGCAGATGCAAATTGTAGTCTTTGGGCAAGAGATGCTGGGACAATGGGAGGTAAAATGTTTTTATGCAGTAAATGGTAATTATCCAGATCTCACTGCCCATCAGGCTGGTGGAAGGGGAGATGATCAATGATTCCAAATGTAAACCGATGAGCATTTGAGGGAAATAAATGTATGAGTTTACAGGGGAAGAGTAGGGAATGTACTTCCTGGATCGCTCGACAAAGACGGTGTAGAATCAATGAGGTCAAATGGCTATGAAACCTTAAGACTCAATTCATTTAGCTTTAGACCTGCAAAACTCAGCAACGGGGCCAGAACAGCACCTGCCTGTTTTTGGATACAATCATACTACTGAGCAGAGGCCGGACCACACTTTATCCAGACAGACAGCGGTGAGGAATCTCCTTTACTATATATACTGCAAAAGCAGTGGGTAGTTTAGCAACCTCAGTCTCATTTGTAAGAGTTTCCACAAAGGTCAATTTGCATTGGATTCAACTCAAAGTACAATGTGCATGAATTTTTAGCTCGAATGGGATTGTCAGAAGGACTGCTACTGACTGGAAACCAAAGCACCAAAACAAATTTTAAAGCCAATGCAGACAGCTATCTGACGTCATGAATGGCGTTCAGCATTCAAAACTAATACCACATGCCCTGTATTTATACAGGCCTCTGGCACAATAAAATTCCCCAAGAGATCAGCATAAAACAAAATGACATGGAACTATATCAACAGGTATTAGGATGGGTGATCAAAAGCTTGGTGAAAGGAGGTTTGATAGAATTCTTTAGAGAAAATCAAGGTAAAGGTTTTGAGAAATTTAGAGGGGTTAAATTTTAGCCTAATTAAGTGGAGAACACTGTTACAGCTACACAGGGCCTTACTGAGACAACATCTAGAATACTGTCTATAATTTGGTCTCCTTAACTAAGGAAGGATGTAATTGAAAGTTGTTCAGAGCAGGTTCACTCAACTGATTATTGGGATGAAGGCATTAGCTTGCTATGGCTAAGCATTTAGGCCTCTGCTCACTGGAGTGAAGAACGACAAGAGCCGGTCTTAGTAAACATTCAAGAACCTGAGAAGACTTGACAGGGTGGATGCTGTAAGGATGCGCCCTTATGGGGACAGATAAGAAAGTGAAGCCACAATCAGATCAGCCATGATCCTATCAAATGGCGGAGTAGGCTCAAGAGAGAGAATGGCCAGCTCCTGCTCTTAATTTGTGTGGTCAAGACAACTGAAAGCATGACCAAAGGTGAACCAATTAAAGCTGGGAATGCTCAAGAGAGTTTAGATATTGTGGAGGGTTGGATTACAAAGATAGGGTGAGTCAGGCCTTGGATGACTTGGAATCAAAGCTGAAAATTTGAAATACCAAGACATTGTTTAACCGGGAGGCAGTGTAGGTCAGCCTCCTACACTGGGGAGCTTGACAGCTGGAGTGAGTTAGAACATGGCAAAGCTCTGTTGCCCAAGGTCACAGAGGGTAGAAAGTAGCAGGCTGGCCCGGAGTGTGAATAGACAAATCTGGAGACATCAGGGTTTCCGCGTTGGAGTCAAGTGATGTTACAGATGTGAAAGTCCAGGGGTAGCATGAGTCAAAGCTCATCTCAGGGTCAAATATGAATGGAAGTTGTACATTATTGTTGTATTGTTCTGCCAGGGAGAGCGACAGAGTCTGCAGCTGGCACATGGAGACTGTTGCCAAGTAACATGAGGGAATTAAAATATCCAAGGAGAGAAATAAACAAAGCATTTTTACACAATGAATACCCTTAACAACTACTTCCAACAAAGAATCCAAAACACAGGATTTCTACCTGGCAATTATATATTTAAATTGCTGAAGGGACAGGAAGGAAATGGGAAGTTAAAACATGTAGCAACTGCCAGTTGGAAAGACCAAGTTACAGAAAATCTGACTTCACACATTCCATATCAGATGAGATCAGTGATTCTGCACAATCAGTTGGAATGATTTCAATAAACACTAGACATTGTTGTGGATGCTTAATTAATTCATTCTCGTGTGCAGTCTGCGAGAGGATTTCAGAACTGTGTGTGAAATACCCACAGTCCACAACAAGCACGTCAGTGGACTTGGAATGTGAGAAAGTTAATTACTCTGTTGGAGCTCATTAGCTATACTCCATGATGTAACCTAGGCAATGCAGAAGTAATGTTATGATCATTAATGTGTTATGTGTGCTGATGTGAATAATCCCTCCCTACCCCTCTAACCTCCTCCAGCTACACAACTGGTCTGAGATATTGGCACTGCCACAATTCTGTACCTCAACTTGGAACATTTTCACAATAGCAGCAGCAACGGAACCTTGCCTAACTAGTCATTCTGAAAGTGACATTAGTGATATTGCACACTCCCTCAATACTACCTTGGAGAATCAGGCCTGTGCTTAAGTGACTGGATTGGAACTCGAAAGTGCAACATTCCAACTCTGAGACGAGGACGTTACCCACTGAACCATAACCAACACATTCACCAGATCAAGTTCCAAACAGTAAAAGATTAACACTGACAATCACCAAAATTAACTAGGACATTTGTTCTCCAATATTACAACAGTTCTTACAATCTTTTGGAAGTTTAGGGGGAGGTGTGATGTTGTGGTAATATCAATGAGCTTTTCATCCAGAGACTAAGGCTAACGCATTGAGAACATGGGTTCATATGGTAGCGGTAGCTGGGGGAGTCGAAATCCCAACTGATAAATCTGGAACTGTAAAGTAAGTCTCACTGACAGTAACCATAGTAACTATAAACAGACTGTTGTAGAACCTATCCATTTCACTAATCCCTTAGGGAAGGAAATCTGCTGTTCTTACCCAGTCTGGTCACTAGATCCACAGTAATGTGGCCAAATCTTAACTGGTTAGATTCTTTGTTAGAGATGATCATTACCTGATACTTGTACGTTGCAAACTTTACTTGGCAAAGCCTGGATATTATCCAGGTTTTGGTGTATTTGAACATGGACTGCTTTAGTCATGAACAGTGCTGAGCATTGCACAATCAGCAGCAAATATTCCCATTTTTTAACCTGATGATGGAGGGAAGATCACTGATGAAGCAGCTGTAGTGTGGTTGGGCTACATCACTGCTATGCTTTCTCCTTTGTGTACCTACCCAATTCTATTTTAAAGGAAATTCCAAATCCTAACCAGCCGTTACATAAAAACAGTTTCTCCTCATATTGTCTCTGGCTTGTTCGCCAAAAATCTGAAATCTATGCACTTTGGTTAATGGTCCTTGAACTACGGCAAACAGTTTCTCTGTACACATCCTTTGTGATTTTGACCATCTCTATTAAACCTCCAGTTTAAGTGGCTCCAAGAAACAATTCCAGTTTATGTATTTATTCATGAGATGTGGGCACAGCTGTTGAGCCAGCATTTATTGCTGATCCATAGTTGCCCTTGAGGTGGTGGTAGTGATGAGCTGTCCAAAACTGTCTCTCTCTCTAGCCATGCGGCTGCAACTCCTCAGCCCTAGAACTGCTCAAAAGACAAACTTAATAGTAATTTTGTTTTTGGTTTATCGTGTGTCTTTGGCAATTGGACAGCTTTGGGATAGCCTTTCCATTTAACTCAGTGCTGTTTGTCACTGTACTGCCCTAGAGTAGGTAACTACTGGCTGCAGATTATTCCGAGACCATGTTTTATGTTAGCTCAAATACACTGCTCACCAACAAATAATGACACGTTACATACAACAGCAAATTTAATGGAAACTTTCATCCTAAAACTCAAAAGAGAGGCAATACCCAATGCTGGGGCTTCTATACAGTTTATAATGCTATCAACAGTTCCACATACTGGTGGCACTTTCCCAGTTGCATATTTCTACATATTATAATCTCAAAAGTCATATAACACAATGTTCAATAAGCAATATTGTGAAGTTATGTTTTTAGGAACTGGTATAAAATGTAAACAAAAATCGTAAGAATGGTAGCACCCTCTTTCCTTGGATATTTATTGAACATAATCCATACACCCAGATCTGAGACCTTACCAAAATAAAAAACATCGTTAAACATGGGAAACCTAAAAACCAGGAGGCCATTCAGCCCTCCAGTCTGTTCCATTCAACTGAATCCCAGTTCAAACTACTCACCATGCATCTGTGCCACATGACACTCTTACAGCCTTGTCTAACAAAAACCTACTCAGAGTCTCCAAGCTTGACATTGACTCCCAGCAGCCACACCATCAAGGAAAGGAAGCTCCACATTTCCACTGCTGTGTATGAAGTGCTACTTTTCAATCTCACTTCTGAACAGCCAAGATCTAATTTGGACTTTATGCTCCTCCACCATTCTGAACTCCCCCTACAGAAGGATTCATTTCTCTTTTCTCCGTTGAACCCCATCATTTTAAACATCTTAGTCAATTAATTCCTCACCCTTCTAACCTGAATGGAACTTTGTTCTAATGGCAGTCTTCCTGAAACATTTACTGTTCCTCTCGAACAGGTGCTACCTGACCTGCTCAGTACATTCAGCATTTTGTTTAGATTTCTAGATAACAGAAATATTGCGTCCATGCAACCAGTTCACACAAGTTAGCCTTTTTATCCCCATTCTGTCAAAGGTGTTTTGTATTGCGTTCCTATTCCAAGGTCATTATATCTTTACCCAGATGCATGCCCAGAAAAGAATATGACTTAGCCAATTGGGGATCTGATTAATGATTTGTACAACTGGAGGAGAACTTAGCACTGCTGCCTCAGTGTCAAGGACCCGGGTTCAATCCCATCCTCGGGTGGCTTTCTTCTCATGTTTGCGTGGATGTCCTCCAGGTGCTCCAGTTTCCTTCCACAGTCTAAGGATGTGCAGATTAGTTGGATTGGCTATGCTAAATTGCTAGTGCTAGAGATATGCAAGCTTGGTGGATTAGCCATGGTAAATGAAGAGTTACAGGTACAGGGTGAGGTGGATCTGGTGGGATGCTCTCCAGAGAGTCACTGCAGACTCGACGGGCCAATTGGCCTGCTTCCATGCTGTACAGATTCTATGATTCTGCAGTTTTGAATTCCAACATTGTACAAAAAGCTCAAACACAAAGTTTAGGTTTTACTTGTGCTCGGTTCCATTCTTTGTATTAAATAAAGTTAGCATATTTAAAAGATCCAGAATATGTTGGTCTGTGGCCTTCATCGACACATTATCAATATAACAACAGAATGAATAGACATCTCATTAAGATTCACTCACTGATCTCAAGCTGCCGCTGAATTCGTCCTTTGCTGCGCTCCCTGAACAAGATTTGAATCTCGTTGTACTCAGTCATCACATTTGCAAATTTTCGGGATAGAGTCGAGTGCTGAAATTTAAAGAGAAATAGAATAATTTAAAGGAAACAAAGAATTAGACCTCAGGCTGACACTTACTAATTGGTTTTTATGTCAATATCGTAGCCTCTGGATGATCATCTGAAGCCAATGTCTAGTTCATGACCTGTCATCATGAGAAATCTGAGGCTCACCGATTTAAACTTCATATGAGGTTTCTCAATCACCCCATAACCATTACACCTCAGGTATACCCACTTCTATTACCATGCAAGGTATTATTATGAGACAACAGGGTTGGGATAGCTCAGTTGGCTGGACTGTTGGTTTGTGATGCAGAGAGATGCCAACATAGATTCGATTCCTGCACCAGCAGAGGTTACCATGAAGGACTCTCATTCTCAACCTCTACCCTCACCACCGGTGTGGTGCCCTGCAGGTCAAACCAGCATCAGTTCATCTCTCTCTACAATGAGAGCGCAGTCCTATGGTCTGGTAGGACTACTGCAACCTTATCTTTAAATTGTAAGCTGCTAACTTACACTCTAGAAAAGGTTTTCAAATCCTGCATATCTCAACATTTTCCTTTAAGTTACAACCATTTCTATGGGGATTGGAGAGTGAATACTCATGAGCCTGTGCATACATGTATGTGCAAGTGTGTACATTTGAGTGAACTTACTTATTTTGGAAAGAGAGATAACTTGGGGAAAGTTAGAACATTCCAAACTGCTTGAACATGCCCAGTACTGATAATCCTAAACCCAAGATAACCAATCTGGACTGACAGATCTTCACCAGCATAAATTTTGTTCAACTTCACCTTTAATCTCCCACTTCACCAATGAATTATCTTCTCATTTTCTACTGCCTGTCTGATCTTCCAATACCATCTTGACAGGCTGTCTAGTGTATCTGATTAAAAATATGGGGGTCACCCACTCAAGACCGATGAAAACCTTTTCCCCCCTCAGAGGTGGGAGTATTTAGAACTGTCTTCCTCAAAAGGCACTAGGAACAAAGTCTTTGAAAGTCTATTGGGCATAGGTTGGAATGTGGAGCAATCGTATCAGGATTTCTGAATGGCGGATCAGGCTCAAGTGGCCAACTCCTGTTCCTAATTTGTTATGTTTGTATGTACACTAGCTGTGACGCCATATTATGACAGCTTTGTGTGTCCGAGAACAGGAGGGTGTTAATGCTATTTGACTGTAAATGTATCCCAGTCTAAATAAAAGGTAACTGGCTTACATGACCAAATTCTTGCCCCTTTCAAACAAATAAATGAAAAGGCATCATTTTTCAGGTCAACACAAAACTTGAAACAAGTATGGTACTGCACCTGAGTTTTGCGTATTCTTAAATCTACTGAACCTTGGTTTTCGTCATCTTCCGTTTTAATGCTTTGTTCTATAACTATAATTGAAACAAAAGGTGAGGACCATTATTAAACATCAAGCAAAACAAGAATGATGGATACACAAGGTACAAGTTAATGTACAGTTTTACAGCAAGAGCTAGAGATAGCAATGGTAGATTTAGTACAGATAAATACAAAATACCAGATGGCAAGGAAACAGGCAATCATTAAGAATGGAATTGGAATTGTCAAGGCTGACTGTGTTCCAAAAATTTCAGCAGACTCAGTGTATGAATATATCCAACACAACATTTAGTAAAACCAAAAGGTTGCAGTGCAGCAGCAGAGAGTGAAATCCAAATCAGGGACAGTCATCTTCTTCACTCTGGCAGACAAAACATTGAATGGCAAGTTCTGGTCATCAAGATTACAACAAGACACTCACTGGAGGTAGCACAGAAACAAGCTACACAGCTAACCACCCGCCTTAGAAGTATCAGCTAGAAGGAAGAAGAATATCTCAACCTTGACAGGACTGGAGGGTTAACAGCGCAGAAAAACAGAACGTAAATCTGTAGGTAGGGCATTCCAGAGTGCTCTAACATGCAAGATGTGCAACTTGTGGGACAAGGAAATCTAGGTTCAAACTACTTAGAACCGATATCAGAAATTTGATCTTCTCAAAAATATTCACTTTTATCATCTTCAGGCATAAAGCAAAGCATTCAAGATAAACATCAAAAATGACAAGCTCAGACTAAAATGCACCATAAACTGGATTCATAAACAAATTAAAACAGGAGAAGGAAAATGACTGAATAAATCCAGATTAAAAGGAAGGGGAAGGCCTCCGAGGGACAGAAAGATAATAGAAATTGTTTAAAATAGGATACACCAGGGAAAAAGAAACATACACAATAGTGGAGACTAAAACAGTAAAAATCCTCTCAGTTTACCAGTGACAGCAGAGTCAGAAACAAAGTGAAATTCATAACAAGTCTCCCTCAACATCAGCCTCCAAACGCACAAATTGTCTTGGAAAGAGGATACACAGGAACACCACTGCCTGAAAACTTAAATCGAAGCCTCTCACCATCCTGACTTGTACATATATCACTGTTCCTTCAGTGTCACTGGGTCAAAGTCCTGGAATTCCCTCCCTAAAACCTCATGAGGACTGCACTGATTCAAGAAGGCAACTCTCTATCAGCTACCCAAGGGGCAATTAGAAATGGATAATGAAAGTCGGCTCAGGCAGTAATGCCCACGTCCCATGAACAAAGTTTTAAAACTTGCAAGTGTAGTAAAGAATGTGAATGAGCTCAAGATGTATAATTTCCTTTGTGATTGTTTAAGTTACCCGCCTCTAATCAAGTACAGGTTCAATGTAACAAATGTAAGGCAGACTAAAAGCTCAAAACAAATAGCTATGAAGATTAGATACTCCACATTTCAGCCAAAAAAAACTCTGAAGAAGATTTGTGCAGCACTGACCTTTCCTAAAAGTGATGAGTTGCTGGAAAAATAAGGGGATCAGAAACAGCCTCAAATTGTCCACATTCAAAAAGGGGGATGAGAATGCATCTCTCTAGTGACAGAGCAGCCCCATGGCCTGACAGGACTGTGATGACTCTACTTTATACCTTTACCTGCCATAACATGCCTAACCTTCCAAAGGACTTTAGTCAAAAGTTCCTCATGAAAGGACTTTTAGACAGAATCAAAACTGTAGGGATTCAGGATCAGAAGCTTCTGAATAGATTAATTAATTACAACAGAATTGTCTTTCCCATCCTTAATTAGGTTGGAACTTGGGAGTCAGATTGCTTTGAAAAAAGCATGTGACAGTATCTTGCCCACAATTAATGTTTCAACCAGTTATTAGGATTGAAGAGCAGAATTTTTCAGAAAATACTAGAAAACAAAAAACATACCATAATTCCAAACAACAAAAATATCAATGGCCTATTATAATGAGGAGACATGTAATTTATAATGTCTTTTAAAAGTAACTTAAAAACTTTCCTTCCAGATGCAAAACTGCCAGCATAATAAGTGCTGAATGGCAGTGAAAAGTACTTACTTCTGTTCAGCATGGGTGGAGACACTCAGCCCTACTCCTCCTGGGTGTCTTACTACCAAAACCTGTAAGGATATCCTTACGCAGTGAGGACCAGCATACTTCTTTCTTGAGTTTGGGGTGGGGAGGAAAATGAATCTTTATTCCTTTTTGGCCCTGTACTGGATACATACTGGGAAGGATACAAACAGCAACAATCTTTAAAGATGTGGGCAATTCAGAGCTGCATGTCTGATCATCACCACCTACTCTAGCCAAGTTGTTGAGAAATTTCTCTTCAGAGAGACAGCATATAAATTTATGCTGGATGGTTTGAAATTTCATAGGAATCATTCAGCATAGAAAGAGGCCATTTGGTCCATCATGGTTCTGGTAGCTCTAGGGTAGAGCTACTTAATTATTTCCACAATCCTGCTGTTTCCACAGTCCTGCATTTTTATTTGCTCCTCTTCAAATATTTTCTAATTCTAAAATTTTCTAATTTAAATCGTATTACTAAATCTGCTTCCATCAACTTTTCTTATCACAACTTGCACAACTTAAAAAAGCTTCCTTGTAATATCTTTGGTTTTTACCAAACATTTAAACAATGTGCAAATAATCAAAATATCTCTGACTCAACTGAAAATACTTACTCTTCAGCTTATTTCGGACTCTGTTTGCAGTTCTCTTAATTGATAGTGTAAGTTCTTCAAGTTCTTCTTTGGTTTCTTTTTAAGAAAAAAGAAAATATTTAATGATTTGCAAACTGCTAAGAAGGAATTCTGGGATCAAAATGTTTGTCAGACATTTTAAATTTTGATACAGTGAAGGATGGAAATTGTCAGTGTTATTAATGTTTTAATTTTACTCTCCACATCTCTCTATTATTTCATATATTAAGATAGACCTTTATATAGTGACTTTCACAAATCTTCAGTATCTCAAAACACTCCACAGTCAATGAAAATATTCTGAAATGTGGTCACATTGTGATTGTGCAACACCCAAAGCCTGTTCACCATTGAGAAAGCACAAGTTAGGGTGTAGTCGAATACTGCCCACTTGCCTGGATAGGGGCAGGTCTCAAAGCTTAACACCATCAAGGACAAAGCAGCCTGCTTGTCTGCACTCCATCCACCACCTTTGATGTTCTCTCCTTCCACCAACACACAAGGAGAGGAGCATGTACCATTAACAAGATGCGCTACAATAACATACCAATGTGTTTTCACAGGAATTTCCAAACACAAGCTCTATCCTACTCCCTAGATGGAAATGGGCATTAGATGCACGAGACCACCTGAAAGTTCTCCTCCAAACCCCATCCCGACTTAAGGCCTTTCTTTCACTGCCTTGCAGATCAATGTCCTATGACTCCCTTCCTAACTGCGACAGCCCTACAAACCCATGAACTGCAGCAGCTCAGCACATTTTCTCAAGGCCAGAAAGTACTGGCTTAGCCAGCAATTTAACAAAAGATGACTTTTTAAAAACATTTTCCTATAAACTTCAATGAGGAGAACTCATGACAAATGGTATGATCCTGGGAAGCACTGAAGATGAAAGGGCCTTTGGTGTGCATACCACCAATCTGTGAAGGTAGTGGGAGAGATAGATAAAGTGGTTAAGGTGGCATATGGGATATTTGTCTGTATTAGCCAAGGCATGGAGTTTAAAGCAGGGAGGCTATGCCAAAACTGTGTAAAACATGATCTAGTGTATTGTGCGCAGTTCTGAAATCCACATTCTAGGAGTGATATGAAAGCACTGGAAAGGGTGCAGAAGGAGATTTACCAGGATGTTGCCTGGGCTAGAGAGTTTTAGTTATGAAGAGAGATTGGACAGACTGGGGCTGTTTTCCTTAGAGCAGAGCAGACTAACAGGGGGCATGACTGAGATGTACAAAATGATAAGCAGCACAAACAAGGTAGATGGGAAGAACCCCTTCCCCTTGGAGCAGGGATCAATGATCAGGGGCCATAGATTTAAGTTGAGGGGCAGAAGGTTTAGAGAAGATGCAAGGAAAATGGGTAGGCGATTGCCGAGTGGTATTAATCGCTAGAGTATTAATCCAGAAACTCAGCAAATGT